TTCATGTTGCAACCTGAAGGGAAAAGTGGATTTACCAGCTTGCGGCTGCTTGAACTACGGTGTTTGACAGGGTCAAAATAGCCGCCTTCTGGTTTGGATGATAATTGCTGGCGGTATAATAGATTCTTTGATATCCGGGGAATCTGCACCAAATACGGAGAAAAATGATTGGAGACAAGGAGTTCCTCAGGCCCTTGTCAGGCTTTAATAAAATTTTAGCACTGTATTCGGATGACACCCTTTAACACGCCTGGACCCACGCACCGAGACGGGAACATTGTATTCGCGCTTAGTTTTGGGAAACTACAACATCGCGCAACCGTTTATGCCCGCAAAACTTATTGCGATTTTCTCATGTTGGTATGGAGAAATGAAGCTGGTATATCAGTGGTTTGTTCCACGAAATCCGGACATGGGATGGCGCATTGTTTTCTGAAGAGTGCCGTTTCTACATTTCCTCGGTACCAAGGGGCATCTATGCATAGGTTTCAAGCTCCAATGTAAACCTTGAAAAAAGTTTGGCTCTGGGGCGTTTCTCATGCACTGCCACCTTTTGATTTTATTCATCCTGCCAGGATTCAGTGTTTGTCACGCAAATATTTGCTAACTCCCATGGCTTGATGTGCAAATCAAGGATCGCGAGTCGAGGTTGGGAATAAATTCCTTTCATTCCCAGTTTCCCAGATCGGGATCAGCCATAATTATTGGTAGATATTAAGAAACATGGAATCTCTGAGGGAGGTTTTACCACTACGCTAAAAAGATAAATCCTTAAGCTAGCCACCTATTCCTCAAGATATTATTTGTATGTTTATGCAAGTTTCACGGATATGATAGGGCTGTCCTGTTGAATCACCTAAATTTGGGCCATCGACTTGCAGAGAAGTCTTTTCGTGCATCCTTAAAACTTTGGGGAAAGCCCTTGCAGATGTGGCAACAGGAAGCATTTTGATGCTATGGCAGAATGATCCAAGAAGCAGCAATATCACGTGCACGGCCTCGACGTGTACGGAACAACATAATTCCGTAGAACGCTTGTCCGTTGAGTGGAAGTTGGTAAGGCCCCTCAGCTAAGAGTGTTGCGGTCTGCGCTCAGGAAGAGAGCCGTTATCATCTCAAGCTACGAACCTCGGAGTGTGTACCCCCAGATATAAAGAAAGAGAAATGGTGTATTTCTTTACATCCAACGTCGTTTCTCCCCCCGCATTTATCTATGTCGGCAAGGACAAGACGGAAAGTAGGGATGCCATCTTTCCAATGGCTCATATGTGGATTGGTATACGGCTATACTAATATGGAGTAGATGAGGATCTCATAAAACATGGTCTGGAATGCGATGTCTGGTAGCTATAATTATTACCAACGAGAATTTTGTTTATTTGAAACCCGGCTTCGGAACACAGCTGATTTGAGCTTGTCTGTAGGGTGCGTTAGGAAGACTATTTCCCTGGAACAAAGAACTGGCGCTTAAGAGCTGTCTTGTAATAATGTTGTTTACATAGTTCCATGTCGACAATCTATCCAGTGCCCACGTTTATCTCCGCCTCAGAGATGGCGAGTCTTGGGACAAGATTCCTGAGGACCTACTCATTGATTGCGCGCAACTGACAAAAGCAAACTCCATTGAAGGTTCGCTTCCTTTTCTTTCTCGACGTTGTTGTATACGCATAACTAAAGGATATCCGAGCATAGGAAATAAGAAAGACAATGTAACTATAATATACACACCGTGGTCAAACCTACACAAAACCGCCGGCATGGCGATTGGCCAAGTGGGCTTCCATAACCCAAAACTCACTCGTAAAATCCATATCGCCGCCAGGCAAAACCCCATTGTCAATCGCCTAAACAAAACACGAGTTGAGAAATTCCCGGACCTGCGACTGGAGAAGGAAGAGTACTTGAAAAATATCAGGCGGGAGGAGCGGAAACTGCGCGAGGAGAAGTGGGCGGCTGAGAAGCTAGAGAGGAAGAAGAGGGAGGAGCTTAAGTGGCAGAAAGAGCATGCGTATGATGCCTTTTTGAATGAGGAGAATATTCAGCAGAGCAGCAATCAGGATCGAGATTCGGATTTTTTGGATGATTTTATGTGACAGAATGGAGCCCATTTCTTCCCATGAGTTAAGGCATTTTTTAAACCTCAACTTCATATGCCAAGTCACACGATAGCGGCTCTCTAGTTGGTCCGCCTGAGAATTTTATCCCCTTGACTTGTGCAGGCGTCCATTGCGGAGACTAGGAAAGAAGAGGATTTGGCTACATCATCAGGCGGAATTGTTTTTTGACCTTAGCATCGCATGGTGAGTGGCTAATCTAGGCCAATGAGACAGGCACTGAAGACTGAAGTGAGCATAGTGACTTTATTGAAAAATATACCCTTCTGCCTTATTCCTACCTGTGACCCTAATACACATACTGTGAAACTTCAAGGCGTATCACTTTTATATGGTAGCATGTCCTGGTTGTACCACCACCCAAACTAGAAAATGGATTGATGATCATGAATTCGATCCCAATGCAAAGCGTATTTTGGAAGTGTGCACCAATATAATATTAGTCCACACTGCAGAAGAGAAAGAACTAGGAAGATCTGTAAACTAGTTAAACCTGACGGGTATGTGAAACTTCAATGCATAAATTGATAAATTGTGAACTTTAAGACTAATGGTAATTAGGGGGAATTTTCCTTTCACCTAGTGGTAAAAATTCACTTTTTATACATACTATATCTTCATGCCTATAGAGATTTCAGTTAATCGTGCAATTGAGTTTCATGAAGATCAATAGTTTTTTAAACTAGATATTACTTACTAGTTACTATTTAAGCTAGTTATGCCGTACTCCGTAGAATTATCTCGATCGAAGGACTATAAGGCGGCTAACTTCCTGCCAGCCATGTCTGATATCTATGCTCTTAGACGGTGCTCATTCAAGTCTACTGGAATGAGAAACAGACTAATAGGTAGTGTGAAGAACAAAAACGTCATTGTAATACTGTGGAGAGCAGTATACTATTATTGCAAAGAATAGTAGATGATCATGGAAGATGACGAGAAGAGAGTTGTAAACTAGAATCCATATTCAGTATATCAATACATAGGGCATTCATAGATTATGCCCAGACGATGTTAATTCTTCTTTGCTGATACAATGGAATCCTCAACTCAGTGGCTCCAGGCAATTACATATCATCTTCCGTTCGTAGGGCCATTTCAGGGTTTATGCAGAAGAAGATGAGCAGATTCTTCAGAGATGTTGCTCTCTTTCAGTGTTCCAGGATCCTAGGGGATAACTATTCATTTTAATACAAACCTCGAACTATGGACTGTTGCACATTGGGTCACTTCTACTCCTGTCTCCTGACATTAAGTCCCAAAACAGCACATGGCTTGGGTCTTCGTAGAGCTTTCATGGGTGTTTCATGAAAATGGTTCTGCAATGGTAAGGCAAACAGCAAAACCACGGCATGAGAATAACCCAAACAGACATAGCTGCTAGAGGTTCTACAACTGGAGGCCATCCAAGGCCACCTGAAACATAGCAGAAGCTGAGACCGTCAACAATTGCTACCACTTTCTTTGCCTTCGTTCCTGCTAGTGGAATGTGGATCCCCATCGTGAGCCGCAAACGGGCTGCGGGATTACGTATTGCAACCCGCCCACGCTAACTAACGACACATCTACAATTCTGCGTCTGCCTCCCAAACCCCTGCAAATTGGACAGCAAAACGTGCAACTCGACATCTATTATATCAAGAGTGTTGAGATCGCGCGCTAGAGGAGGGTCTATTCGATTGGTGTTCCTGCGGCGCCTCTCACAAGGTCCCATTGTCCCTTGAACGATGCCCTCAGATACAACTTCTGCGCCGGCACAAGGTACGTAACGCCTTCATCTTTATTTACTAAATAAGTAGGTCTGCGCGTAGTCTATTCAAGGAGAGACCTCTAACTGCGCCATGTAAATTGCTTAGGGGCAGGAGGGAAATCAAAGAAAAACAGCAGGAAGAAAGCAAATGCGAAAGCAAAGGCAAATGGCGGGACCGTTCCCATCACGACTTCTTCCGACCAACTACAGCCACCCACACAATCCGACGGGCAACAGGAGAGATCAGGCAAGGGTCAACAGGAGAAGCCAATTGCACCGCCGGTATTTCTCTCACCTTGTCCCCGCTGGAGGCGGGAGGCATGAGGTACACTAAGGAGACACATTGTCTAATCTTGAAGTTTTATCTAGGCTAGCAAAGAAAGCGTCGCGAACGGTTCCCAGGCGGCGGATTTGGAGGATAACAATGGAGGACGGGATAAGGAAATGGAGTCGATAACGGAGAGCGATACTGATGTACCGCCTCCCAACTCAACAACCCCTTTTTTTGATTCCGACCCCAGGTTCGAAGCACTGGTGCGGGATCGCGATTCCCTGCGTGCGGAAGTAGCTGAGATGCGCATATCTCTAGAAAAGATACAGTCCAAACACGATGAGGAGATGGAGCTTCTACAGAACGAGCTGAAACAGTCGCAAAATGACAAAGAGCATGCTGAGACCCAGTTTCGGAATTTGTTGGGCAAGGTCAATACGATCAAGTCGCAGCTGGGGGAGAGGTTGAAGGCTGATGCTGTACGTCTCGTTGAATTCTTTGGAGTGCTATTTTTTACATATACGGTTTTCGAGATGGGTTTCTCTTTTTCCGCCTGTTTGTTAACAAATGAGTCTACAGGAAGAATTGGAGCAGAAGAGGAGCCGGATTGAGGAGCTTGAGGGCAAAAATGCTGTGCTACAAACGGAGGTGGAGTCCAAATCGGCTGCTGTCAAATCACTGGAGAAGGAAAGGGAACAGCAATCTAAGGAGCTGTCTAGCTTGCGAAATCGGACGAATTTATCGCAGCAAAATTGGCTGAAGGAGAGAGATGAATTGGTAGAACGAGAATCATATGCGCGTTCGGAATTCGAGGAGGCAAAGCAAGCTATGCACAATTGGGAAATTCTCGCTATGGAGGAGCGATCCATTCGAGAAAGTCTGGAAGAGAAAGTGACAGACCTGGAGGAGCAGCTTGTCACCTTGAAAAGCGACTATGAGAAAGCCTCTTCCGAACGCGATGCACAATCAGTGACGGTGGACGGGCTTCAGAGGGCGCTTCAAGATATCCAATCCGGTAAAGGATCTTCTCAAAGCTTTTATAATTTTACGTGGTTAATACGGCTAATACGATTTCTTTTTCTATAGCCCGAAAACAGGAGTTACGAGAGATAGTAGAAAGCTCAGATGCACAGCTGGAAGAGCACCGGAAGAAGCTTCAAGAGGCTGAGAAGAATGCCACAGAAGCCATTGCCAAACTAGAAGAGGCAGAGGCGGAGTTGAAACGAGTTCTGCCATTTGAAAAAGAAGTCAAGGAGAAGAATCTGCTTATTGGCAAGCTACGTCATGAAGCAGTGACACTGAATGAGCATCTTACCAAAGCTCTAAGGTTCCTGAAGAAGGGAAAACCAGAAGATAATGTAGATAGGTACGTTTTGCCTCTGTTCTTCATTATACTAAACTGCAATGGTGGCCAACTAGAATAATCAGACACCTCGTCACCAACCATTTCCTCCATTTCCTAGCGCTGGATCGATCAGACCCGAAGAAATTCCAAGTCCTGCAGCTCATAGCAGCGTTACTAGGATGGACAGATGGTAAGTCACACCCAGACCCCTTTATTTCTTAATGCATATTCTTGGGATAAGGGATGGGCCCTATCTAACGCCACTCCTCTGGGTTATCTAGAACAACGAGAGCAAGCTGGTCTTGCCCGCCCAGGAACCTCAAGCGGATTTGGCGGTAGTCTGCGCATTCCCAGCACTTCATCCCTCCTATCGAGGACACCAAGCTCGCCGTCCCTTGCGTCCGAGTTTTTGATGGACAATGTAAGTACACGCAAAGAATCGCTGGCGGAACTCTGGTCGAATTTCCTAGAACAGGAGGCGGCGCAAATAAAGGAATCGAAGTCACGAAGTCAATCGGATGCACAGCCTGCCTCTCCCGCCCCATAAGCTATGTATACGAGGCCACTTAGGCGACGGTTAACTAGACTCATGTTCCTTTACCATCAAATTTTTAGCAGCCTAGAGCATTAGTTTTCGTATAATTTTTCATCCCCGTAGGGCCGCCAATTCTATTCATGTGTCAAGCGAATGTGATCTTCCGGGGACCGCCAAAACAGCCGCTCAAGGTACAATCTCATTAACTTGCAAAAGTAAACCAACAACTACATGTAAGCCAGTACGATTCAACTATCCTAGCCCGTAGTATAATCATACCCACAAGGGAGGTAGAAATAAAAGAATGATATTAGATAAACTCTCACCGGTCTCGTGCCAAGAACCTATAAACCCAATACCCAATTTTGGCGACAATCACGATAGTAGTTATTCTCATATAATTTTTGGTCTGCCTTTCCTCTCTTTCTTTCCCCTATCCAATCTCTTCATTTCTTCATACATTCCAATGGCCGCTGCTGGTAGGTCTCCCACCTATTTCCCATCCCCAAGCTCGACTGGCCCTGTTCTAACGACGAAGTGCAAAAATAGCCATACGCAAATTCCGCCCTGTAGTGATATCCGGCCCCTCAGGCGCTGGGAAATCAACATTGATAAAAAGACTCTTTGCCGATTACCCAGATACCTTTGCGCTTTCAGTTTCTCGTCAGTTCCACCAGTTCGCTATCCACCCACCTTTCCTCTTTCTCAAACCGCCGCTCGCTATTATTATTAACCCGCGCTTTGAATGGCAGATACAACCCGACCCCCCCGCGCCGGCGAACAACACGGGCGTGAATACTACTTCACAACACGCGATGGCTTCCAATCCCTCATCGACGAAGGCGGCTTTATAGAGTGGGCCCAATTCAGCGGGAATTACTATGGTACCAGCACCAAGGCGGTGAGGGACGTGGCGGAGAAGAAGCGCATTTGCATTCTCGATATTGAGATGGAGGTATGCATAGAGTCTAATTATATATATACCCTCTCCCACCATCACCCGCCTGCTTTGCTGCCAACCCGACTAAACTCACCTAAATGGAAAATAATAATAACTTTTACAGGGCGTCAAACAAGTCAAACGCACATCCCTAAATGCGCGTTTCATCTTCATCGCCCCGCCCTCCCTCGAAGTGCTCGAGCAGCGCCTGCGGGGTCGCGGCTCGGAGACGGAGGAGAGTCTCCGCAGCCGTCTGGCGCAGGCGAAGAATGAGTTGGAGTATGCCACGCAGCCTGGCGCGCATGATATGGTGCTTGTCAATGACGAGTTGGAGGCTACGTATAAGGCGTTGAGGGAGTGGGTGGTTGATGAGGGGCGGTTTGGGGCGCTGGAGTGAGAGTTTGTATGGGACTTCTTTTTGGCTGTTTTTGCGAGGCGAATGGGGTATTTGACAAATGAGGCGGGAGAGGCTGAGGGTGAAAAATGGCATTGCGGTGTCCTTATATATATTTATATGTCGCCGCACTCTTTCTTTCCCGTCTGTGTCTCTCTCTTTTTTCCCTCCCCTTGATATCCGAGACGTTCCACGGTGCACTATATATACACGCCTAAAAGGCGCAGAGTCGGGTTGATTTATTTAGTG